CGAGTCATTCACGCTTTGCCATCGGAGTTTGAACCTAGACATTTTAGAGCAAATATACCCATATTTTGACTATAAACAGTTATAGTAGTATGCGGTTGCCAGAATGTCATATCAGCAGTAATCATAAACCTTTTTTTTAACGTTGTACAGTTTTTTGTTAGACATTATGCAGTAAAATCAAAAATTGCTTATTCTCTGGTTATCCTAATGCAGAAAGATTTCACAAGCAAAACATTGTTTGAAAATTGATCAATGATTTAAAGTTATTTTGGCTGATTATTACCACACATATCGAGACTGTGTTAAAAGTGTAGAAACGTGTTGGCAATCATGATTACTTTTAACATGATACGCGAAATCCTATACAGATGAACCTTTTGTTTGAAATAAAAGACGTCAGCGTGTGATGGCCTAGATATTCAATTATTCGATTTACCTCATATGCATATAACGCCGCCTCCAGTTGGTTGGAAACTGGGATTAGCGCTTAAATGTTATGGTACTTTAATTCTTTCTTTATCTGATCGGGCTTCTTTCCTAGCTTATGCTTTCATGCTACTTAAGGTACGCGTTGAAGAGTATATCACACTTATAGAGGTGATGTTTGTTTATTTTAGAACCGGCTGAAGATACTGGAAGCGGTAATACTGGTCCTAGTGCAGATTTGGGTTCGACAGTAGATGATGATTTCGGTCAATCCTCGGATACAGAATTATTGTTTCGGTGTAGAATTTGTTGGAAGGGTTTCAAGCATCCAATGTCTTTGACACTACATAAGGACTTGCATACAGGACAAACCAAGTGCCCTATTTGCCATCGCGTTTTTAGTCGGAGTTATGACATGAAAATGCATCTGATGCGTATCCATAATTGTACATTTTGTCCAGACACAAAACTGAACAGTCAAAAATAATGCCTTTGCTCCTTTTGTACTTGTACGAAGACTTCTCGTGATCTCACGGTTTTAAACAAATATGCGAGTGAGAAAAGAAACAATGAGGAAGTACGTTAATTTCCTGATGTTTCTTTATAAATATAACACGCGAAATATGTAAAGCTTACTAAGGTATATGACTCGACAATTTCACTCAACGAATACTAGAGGCATTGATTTATAATAGTGTAGAACTATTTTATGTCGTAGTCGCGATAACTTAGTATTAAAATTGAAAGAAACGGAAAAAATTACGTGAGTGCACGAGCGAATTGTCTCTACTCTTGAGTGACTAGATATTAAGTGTAAAAGAGAAATAAGCTAGTGATTAAATGAGTTCGATGCAAGGAAAAAAGCCTCAGCAATTAACTACCTTAAAACACTCCGTCTTAATTTATACAAGATGTACAGTGATTTATTTTGCCTCAATGCTTTATTTGAACTTTCGAAGCTTTATGCGTTAGAACATTGTGCCATAAAATACTGTGTTGTACAAAATATGCTTCACCTAAAGGTTTGTTGCGTACACTATTACTTGAGTCGTCTAATTACATTTAAACGAGATTTTTTTACGTGCACTTGCAGTCCTTATTTATTTTTTATTGAATTTTTAGAATTACACGGTGCTCTGGTTGTGTTGGTACTTTAGCATAATCATTTGTGATATCCTGTTTTAATACTATGAGTTAATAATGAATACAAAATTTGAAGAGCATTTCACTTAATCCAATTTTTTTAATGCAACTGATTTTAATGTTGTACCGATATTTAATTTATTCTGAAAAATTAATGTTGCACAAGATAGTATTATCTAGTAATGCCATTTAGATATAGAGTTTAACTGTGTTACATGACGTCTATCACTTTACACTCGTTCAGTTATCAATGATTGCAGTTGAAAGGTACCGAAATTGGTCGATTCCATTTTTTTTTTTAATTCCCGATATTATGAGATTTCGTGACTGTTATAATTTTAGTGTTAAATAATTCGAAGCTTCACTACGTTTAGAAAATAGGTCGATTATTCCGAACAAGTAATGTGCGTTTGATACTGTCCCTCATCATATAATATAATGACAAGGTTTAGTTGGGCCGTATTATATATTTGTGATACTTGAATTACGGAATTTCCAGTCGACTAATTCAATGTACTGTAGACACACTAAATAACGTTTACTAAGAAAGACTACATTGTATCGCTTCTCTGTTACACTGTATAATTTATTAGTGTACATAATATAATGACAATTACTTTCAGCACTCGACATTTAAATTATTGTAAATATCTTAAGTCAAATTGTTTTCGTTGCCTCTTCTTTGGGGCAGATAAAAACAATGAACGAAAGTTAAGGTCTTTCGATAAAAAAAGCCGTTTTTAGACTGCGATACTTAATACATACTAAATGATAAATACGTCGTCATTATATTACCTCAGTCGTACATGTTTATCTATCATTTATTTTATTTTTGGGGTTTATCCATGATGCCCGTGTCGCAGTGTTACCTCGGATGAATTAGATTTTGAATGTCATGTTAAATTGATTTCATTTGATATTTGGATACGTGTATTTTAAAAAATGCCCTTAATACTACTTTTTTGTAACACATGCCGGGAATGTTCGATTTTCGTCGCATGTAAAACGTATACAAAATAGGCAATTCCTAAGCGATACGTGAAAGTAAAGTTCAAGCACCGTTGTGCACGGGCACTTCGAGTTCTTTCTTGAACTGTACCTGCCTGTACCGTCGATCAGAAATTACTTTTATGTGCGATTAAACTCAGAAACCGTACGTTAGTTCAGTACTGTACTTGAAAAGGACCATTAAGAAAAAGAGATTTGCTTTCCGCCCCTTCCACCGGAGTTCTATCTGTGAATACTATCCATTTGCCAATTTTTGTTACGGATTCTCATTTAGTATTCGAAGTCAAACATTTTCTGCATTTGTTACAATAAATGTCATGTGTGACAGGTGCAAATAGGTGGTTCTGACTCGTGTGAATTTTGTAGCCCTTATTGTCAATTTGTGCTATAAACGTCATATTCGTCTAGAACTGCCTATTCTCTGCCCTAGTTACTCGATATAATATTTTCTTCTTGCTCTGAAAAACGTTTTAACGTTGCATCTCTGCCAGTTCAAATACAGTTAATGATGTTTATCTTCTTTAGTACTTCACTTCCTATACGATTGTGACATTAGATCCAACGTGTCGACAAGCGGAATACGATATAATTGACAGTTTGCAGAACTATCGTCTTCGAGAACTTTATTATTACGAGCAACGTAAGCGTAATAAGTAAAGTCATCTAACTTCTTATGTGGCCTACGTAACTAATGAAAAAAACTAAAACTTCTCTTTTTAATAGTCTCAGTGTTCCTTACCTTGCGAATTTATATTTCGTTCAGAATAGTTTTCTGTAGTCGTTACATCTCAATCAAAATCCATTTCCGATCTTACAAAAGAAATGAGCTATGCCCAGGGTAAGCCGCAAGTATAAATAAAGAATGAATCCATTCGATTTCATAAACAATTAGTTTTATTTAAATTAAAGATTGCCCATCGAATTCTGTTTAAATTTTAGTTTTTTAGTTAAAAAGATTTGCATTACAGATACTTGTAGGACAATTGTATCGATATAACTTTGAGAAATATATCGAATTATGGTGTGATTCATAATGACTCTGGATCTTATCAGTTATTTTCAATAAAGAAAAACCTGTAAAACTGCTCAATGCGTTGTTGATCTCCGAAGGGAACAAAAATATTGGTACATTTAACCTTGTTACAAAGTTCAACAATTTATCATAATTTTCTTATCATTGCAATGTTTATTTGAATCGTGTCAAACTCTCAGCATAAATGTTAAGTATTCTAAATTTGTCAACCATCACGAAGGGCGTTCTTAATGTACGCAATGTTGATTATAATTACAAGAGTGCAGATTTTTACCGTTTTAACTCTAATTTTCGTTTATCGTACATTATCCATCGCGTTTCTAATCGTAACATAAGGAAAAGTAATATGTGTTATCGATAAATTATACATTTCAATGGCTTACATTTGCAATTAATCCATCCCATGCTTACACGCGTCAAATGGTGTACGGGCATAAGCTTTAATGCTTTTATACAATTATCCGTCGAAGATGAAGAGAAACCTCGAACCGCAGCTTAAAGAGTAGCTTTTCTCAGAAGTATGTAACACAAGGGAGGGGCAACGGCAATTTATAAAGATGTATAAATTGTTTAAGAACCGAAATCATCCCAAGAAAAAGAAGTTTCATTTGAATCTTATGGAGTTTATACTTTAAGGAACGAGGAAAGCTTCAAGATCGTATGCACTTTGATAATAGTAATAGGCAAGTAGGCATTGCAAATACTTGCTCGCTCGATCAAAGCGTCGTGCCTCTCGCGACGTAAACCTCTCGAAGATATAAAACTTCTTCCTAGCGTCGGATAGTCGTACAAGTACACGTACTCTTATTGCTAGCGAAAAACACCGACGCGTGAGACTTCTCCCATGACATGTATACAGGGTGATTCCTCCCTCATTCACGAAAACAGCTTGCGACGCATATATCCGAGTCTCGTGCAACCGACAGAACCGGCGACGCGCGTTGTCCTTGTAAATTTGACGCGCAAAGATACCTCGTTGGGCGATTCCCGATAGACGAGGATGTTAAGAGACACGAAGAGCGAGCACGAAACGCGAAGGGGACGCGGTCGAGCAAGGCGACCTCGAGGCTTGCTTCCGTGAGGTACATACCGCTAAATTAGGGGTGCACTCCTCCTCGAGGAGGATCACCACGAGGCACAAAGTCTACAAGCTTTTTGACATTTCGATATGGACATTTCGATGGAGAAAAAACGACATTCCTTTAATTTCTGGTTGAAGGCTTAGTTGGACATGCTTATGGGTCTCGCTGACGGGGGCGACGTCGCTCTACACGGTAGCAAAACTTACGTACTCACATACCTACTATAGTTTACCCGTTAACAGAGAGGAGGAGATAAGGTTTATCTGGCTCTGAGTGTATGGGAAAAACACTTTGGATTGTGTGCGCAGAACCAAAGTACGATTCACCTGTTGGGCATCAACTTCGTAGCGGCTTTGGTTACGATGCCAGGCGAAGGTCGCGGCCACTTCACGATGAAAACGGTCGGTGGGTTTGTGACGTTTGCGGAAAAGTCTACAATCGCGGGGACTCCCTTGCCCACCATCGCAGTATACACAGAGGAGACACAGTTTGTCCGATTTGCCAAACCGTCTTCACGCGCAAGTACACGATGCGCTGCCACATGGTCAATGTCCATGGGTGCAAGTGATCGTAGAGCGAGAAAGAGTTGGTGCTTCCCCGCCTAGACCGACGAAGGCCCACCTGATGCTGCGAGGACCGCTCGCGCCGGTCTTGCTTTTCGTTTAAGCTCGAGCCGAAACCCCGCGTACATTCTCTACAGACGATGTACACTTTTTTTCCATTAGAATTGGGCGTATACGGAATTATATCGTCGCGTGGATCTTCGACGCCTCCGTTACATTCGATGTTGCGGTTCGCGTAGCCTGACATTTCGAACTCGAAGTAAACGCTTCGTTGTTAAAAATAGGATGAAAGAAATTTAGGGGAGGATAGACGTTATAAAATCTAAATTGTAGACGGTAACGTTCTGTGTGTGCGTAAGACAGTCGTCAGAAGTTCAATTGCGAGGTATGTCGTATTTATTGGCATGCTTAAAGAAATGTGATAAATCACATTTGTAAATATTTTGAAAAACATTTTCTAGTTATTCTATATAGAAGTCGAAAGATTAAAATTAAATTATTACTTTTTACGTATTATAGAGAGAACAAAATGTAAATGCGTGTTTTATAAATTTGGTAGGTGGCGAATTTTAGTCTTCGTTGTCGACATTTTATTACAAATCTTTTGCATTCCTCAGGAGGTGTTACAGATCCAACGAAGATATACATATCGGTTATCATCTCTCGTTGCAGTAAATATATAATGAGATGCATACAAGATGATTCAAATATGTATAGAGTTTTTGGCTTGCGTCATTTTTATAAAAATTCGAACGATAACTTCTTTTGTAAAATGTTGAAACTTTCGAGGTATACATGGATGAGGTTGACTATCCACGCCAGAAATTTAGTGAGATAAATAATCACCTTTTAACGTTTTTAATTTGATGAATATGTTGCACGGTTGGCTGATTTAATCATCGTTTATTAAGAAAATTATTTATTTCATTTTCATCAGAATTATCCAAAATAATTTTAATTCGATTTTACTAAAAAATGTGCAGGCCGCTGAAAGTAACTTTAATTTACTTTGTATATTGAACATGAATTAATGTGACGAATTGCATTCATTTCATAATCGTTAGATAATACATAGAATAACGTAGTATATACCCAATTCTACATACAAGACTATCTTTTTTTTTCTATTTGAAAAAAGTGACTGACCTCTTTAACAGAGACGAGAGAGCGATCTCCTTAAAAAGGGAATCGTATCGAATCAAATTAGAATCACTCATCTTGCGATTTTATTACGGTTTACTCCAATTTTAAAATGATTTCTCTAGTTGTACATAGAGTTGCATAATTAGGTCATTATCAGAACTCGTAGCCGTCTCGACATATTGCAGAAGTTACTTTAACAAGCTAATTTTACTTTTCTAGAACGTCATTTTTACTACTTTAATTCATTTCCCATTCATATTTTTTTAGAATTCAATTTGTGTGTCATGAGCTGCGTTTACTGGCATTTTCTGTGCGTAATAACTGCATGTAAAATTGCAGTTGTATAGCGAAACACTTTTGTTTCCCTTTAGATATGATTTTAATTTGTGTCTGAATTTTTTGTTTACAGTTTTTTACGTTTGTTATACACATATATTTGTCGCCTTAAAAAGAATTGATCATCGAATTCGATTTTAATTATTTGAATGAGTTTACAGTGTACGCCACTTAAAACTATCTCTGGTCAGATGCATTACGCAATTTTGCGTAGATAAACGCATTTCTTTCGTAGCACGAGTACATTTGAGATGTAAATGTTTTACGAATTTGCCTACTGTCCAAAATCAATTTTATTTTGTAACTATAGAGAGAACGGTTGACGTTCATTCTTTCCCGGTATTTTTAACGTTGTTATGCGCAATGTCTCACTTTATGTTCTCCTACTCGTTCTGAGCAAACATGTGAGTGAAGAGTAGATGTATTATGTTTACCAATATTTCTTGGAAAAAAAAACATTTAATTAAAAATGACTTTATAAATGTAACGATCTTTGAATACATTGTAGTACTTTACCCGTATTGTTAAAGAGTTGAGAACTTTGAGTTTTGACAAATATTGCAACAAATTACATTATCATCCACTCATGATAATAGATTATGTATAAATTATCCGTTTCGATTTAATATCAGTCGAGGTAAAATATATTTATAATCCATCATTAGGCACGAATTAGTAATGTATATACTAAATAAATGTTTAAATATAATAATTTAAAGCGTGACAGATAACGTATCCGCACGTATTTCGAGTACCGTATGAAGTAAGGGGTAAAATACGCGTAATAATTTTTTAAACGTGTACGGACGAACATTTCATTGAAAGGCGGTTAAGGTTTCAAATCGATCGATAATATGCACGATGTGGAGTACACGCGAATACGTGGAAATTGCTCGTAATGGTACAGTAGATGTGAGAATAATATGACAGCTGGCCCTTTCAGTAACCGTCACACACAGATTCCACGGTTATGAAGAAAAATAAACAGAATTACTGTGAATTTGTCTATAAAAATAATACTAGTTTCTATTAAAAGACGAGAAACCATATTTATTTATAGATTGTACAATCTGTTCAATCGACCTCATAAGAATCTACAGACAGTAAAAACTTTATTGTACTATTTAACTCAAAATTTGTGCCTCAATGATGAGACCAACAAATCTTGGAAATTTTTTTTGCAATACGTATTTTTGAAAATTCGTCCTGCCACACTTAATAAATTTTACGTCATTGTTTCTAAAAATACAAACAACGTATGCGAGCCATTACATGACCACAATTTGCCTAAAATATTAATGTTTATATCGTAATTGTTTTTGTCTGAAGATTACTTTATTTTTTATACGTTCTTTTTTTAATTTATCGCTTTACTTCATTCCCGTTGCAATCTGACTCATATCAAAGTGTTATGCGTGACAGCTGCAGCTAAGCTGTCAACTAAGCTGTCAACTGTCATGTTGGTCCTGGAGTTATTTGTGACACGCGCAGTTGGGACATATATTTTGAAAGAGAATTCAACTTCCGTAGCGATGTATCGATCCAATTTGAATCGAACCCATTTGAGTGAAATGTTAGTACACGGGATTGGTAAACAATCATCACTTTCTTTTGCATATATACGTACCATTTTAGTGAACGTCAAAAGATCATACCTTAACAGAAAATGACAAAATCAGATGTTATTTATATCGTCAAGTCCTTTTTTTCTACAACTATGCGGATTTTCTATTACGTTATTTTTTTCCTCGTATTGTAAACATTGTATATAATACGCAAGAAAGAGTAGTAACGTGCTTTCAATGGTTTAATTTCTCTTCTTGCTGTAGATGTATATAACACAATCAATACTTCCCGATTGCCTTATTCAACAAAACTTCTAACTTTGTTTTCAATTGAATTGAATTGAAAAAGTTTTCAATTGATTTATCTGTAACACAATCTTTCCGCGTAGTGTTTATCTTATACAAATCAGTAGGTAACGTTACTTGTACAAAAAAAAAACGTAACGATTCTACTCATTGGTATGGTGTTTTTACTCACGGTACGTCGTGTAAAAAGTGATCTTGAAACCAGTTCCAGGCATTAAAATTTATTTTAAATTTATGACAGGCATTTTTTATGCATTTTGCTACACATTATTACTGTCGAAACAGCCTTCTAGCCTTTCGTATATCTCATTGCTTGTTCTATAGAAGCCATCAATTTTATTTTTCTTCGTGTTCTTTAGTATTTATGAATATACGTAATTTTTAACGCTTTTAACGGTTGTTTTTAACATTTAATTATTTTTTTTACAATGATGCGATAATACTCTTTTTTTTGTTTCGTCTCCATAAACTATGTGTAATTTTGTATTTAGACTCTTTTTAAATTCGTTCAAGACGCATTTTAAACGGCAAAATCAAGTACTTAGAAAATGTTGTAATTGTACTTTGAAAAACGATGGGTTTAAATGAGATCGATATTTAAAGCACATTTCAAGAAGATATTATTGCGACAAAATAAACGACTTTTTGTAATTTATGGAGCTTTTAACCACTAACGTTCTGATTCTGTCAATTGATTCTTACAAAATACCTCTCAAAAGAGAAAGACGTAGAAGGTTGAATTTCCATGATTCCAACCTCGTTTAAATGGGATATTCAATTGATTTGTGCAATACGAATTCATTTATCGTGTACTTATACAACTGACATACTTGTAAGAGTGATACAATTTAGTATTATCGATATAAGTCAGTCTTTTTTTACTTCTTTTAACAGAAAATGTAATGCGTTCCTGCAAATTGAATCACGAAGTAATCCTATCAAGGACACGATATTACCATTGCGCTGAGAAGAGCTTTTGTCTTTGCAGCGAATGCGTTAAAAAGATTCATGTACACGTATATAAACTCGAAGCGCCCAGTAAAATGTTCTTCCACCAACAGCGAAGGGTAAATGCAAACCCAGTGGTCTTACAAAACTATAAGTTATATTAAACGGAAGTATTTCTTTGTATTTGTCATCTTAAGGAATAAAGCTACACAGAAGTTATCTTCGAGTTTCTCGGTGTTTAAAACACTGCTAACCTTACATGAATAAATCGCATTCACGGTTAATCCTAAATTGGCAGGTGAATCTCTGACACGTTCATCTTACCCTGAAATCAATAAGGAATGTACTACTTAAGCGTGGAGTGTGCTATCGTATAATTGAGTTTGGTTTTTGCAGTATTATCTAGGACGTAGCATTTAAAGTAAAACATGATTGTCGGTACACTGCTCCAAATTGACTCGGTATCGATCGAAGTTAATGTACCAGCTTCGCTCAATACCGACGATAGATCGTATACTATGTGTTGCGCTTGTTTTGAGAAATATAGTTGAGTTTTGTCGTGTAACACTCAAGTTGATCGTTACTAGAGCCCGGAGAAGCGACGCATTGAAAACCTCTGCTTCGTGATGTATTCCACTGGAAACCCGTAATGGAAACGAACGGGTGTAAACGGTAATTCACTCATTCGGAAACCTCAAATATGTGTATTATACGTAGTTCATTAAAAATTATACTATACGTATTTACGGATAATACACGTATATGAAGCAAGATTTGTTAAAGGGATTCGTGGATGACCGTTTATCGCGTCCGATTTCCAACGACATTAGTTTCTTCTTGATTTTTGAGATTGGTGCACGAAAGTGTTTGAAACACTGACACATGTATGCCGGAATCGGGAAGATCATTTGCTGACTGAGAATGTAATATCTTACACGAGTCATAAAACTTAATAGACTCAAGCATATATCAGAGGATATAATATCTTATACGAGTCGTAAAATTTAATAGCGACTCGAGCATATGTCACGTGACAGGGCGTACCTCTTTTTATTTATTCAAAGCGGCCCGTGAAAACAGAAACGTCTAATTTCTTGATTAAGTTTCACGTAACCGAATACAATTTTCTCAGTCAATAAATGGCTTCCCTGTCTTGGATTCTCGCGTGTTAACGTTCTAAGCTGCTTTGTGCATTAATGATCAAAAATGGCAAGAAACTAAGACGGCGATATGCTCGTTCAATAAAGTCGGTATCGATCCGCCTCAAGCAACTGTAACGGTGCGATGATCGTTCCATTTTTCATCATACCGTGCAAAGTAATTTTATTCACGTTACTCGATAACAGACGCGGAACAAACGTAGCGGAACGTGAGACGAAAAGTGGCTTCGCAAGCTCAAATCGGGCATTCTGCCTCTACTTCCGGGCTCTAGTAGTCACCGTGCATGGTTTTTTAAAATGTCGTACGTACACAAGGATGAATGCGAGTGCGAATGGAAAAGCAAATGCAAGGGTGCAAGAGTGATTACGCGTAAACGCGCGCGCACTCACGCAAGCCCCCGAACCTCAGAGTGTACTTAATCTTGTTCCGTTCACCGAGAAGCACGATCGGCTGAAAAGTGAGGGCGGGCGTGCGTGCACGCGAGCGCGCAGGTGTGCTACGCCTAAGCAGAGTAGTCCGGCCGAGAGTCACGACGACCCTCGAGCGAAGTACTTCCCTTAGGCCTAGTGCTCACGTGCGATTACCAGACGCTCAACAATTTAGTTGCATAAGTGACAACAGCGTGTTTACACGACACAGCGCTCACGTGTAACCGAAAAGCACCTACAAGTTTAGTCAACTAAATGGTTTCCGCGTAGATCCAAATGATTAAGACGCACCGACCCGCGCAACTAAATCATTCGTCGACGAGATATCGCATCGCGACCAAGTAGTTGGCGTCAAAATACAGAATAGTTTGGATCAAGTTGCCGCGCGATACCTCGTCGATCGGTAAATCGATTGTAGTATCGGCGCAAATCGTTGCGTAACCATTGAACGAAAGACGATTGCACGTGAGCGTTAGGTCACCGAGGCCGACTCGATTCCGATCTTTGGGCATCTAAGGACGCGACGACGTCGCTCCTTTCGGGGGTTTGGGTAACTTGGATGAACGCAGGAGCGGGATTCCCTCGAGCGGGCAACCTGCCGAGAAACCGATGTGTCTCTAGCATGATGTTTATTTGATTTAGATTCTCGTACAGTGGTCATCGAACAACCGTCGCATTCGTGCAAACTCTGCGGTAAATCGTTTTGGAATCGGGACTCTATGTATAAACATATGAATATGCACAAGGGGACGACCCAGTGCCCGGTGTGCCACAAAGTGTTGAGCCGTACGACGCACATGAAACGCCACTTAAAAAATCGCCACAGCTGGCTGGGATTTGGATCAGCCGCGGAGACCGGGCGCACCGCTACCCCGTTACCTGGTTCCTCCTCGACGGTCGGCCAGCAGAGCGCCGCCACGGCCAATCTCGAGTCCAACGCGACCTTTACCACTATACGCATTAGGGAGAGCAGCGTCGAGAGAATCACTTCTAGTCCCATTCCTTAGTGTGAAGTGCTACCAAAGATAAGATGCGCTACCGACGCCCGTCTTCGATTTCTTATCCTAGTCATTTCTACGCGTGCACGTGTCTCTTCTATGTATCTCGCGTGGGCGTGCGCCCGCGCGCACGCGACGACCACGACGCACGCGCGCACGGAGAGTCCCACGCATCTACACCTACGTACCACCCCCCGCACCGCTCGGGAGACGCTTCCCAACCAAAGACGCGTGGAACGTTATTTCGTCTAGTCAATTGATTTCAGTACTTAGTAGCGTAAGGAGGAATGTGCATCTTTTGTTGCGAGGTTTGTCAGAGAGGGAGAGATAGAGAGAGGGAGAGAGAGATCGGACCCGGGGGCCCGCGATATCGCACGGTTGGCGCCACCCTCGCCGGTTAGCGTCAATGACGCGGTAACGACTGAACCAACCGAAGCGACCGTCGGGCCAATCGGATTTAACATTCTTCTAGTCTGGATTAACTGCCAAAGCCGAGTTAGAGAACGTCGGGTGTATCGCCTCCGAAAACCGCTAATTTCACGTTGGCATCTATTTATTTGTTCGCTCGCGTAGGCGGGAATCTGAAGTTGTCCTCGGACAGGATTCCGTCGATAAGTCAGATCCCTGTCCTACGTCTATTAAGGGAATTCGTAAATGACCGTTTATTGCGTGAGCGCATCGACGAAGTCAGTCTCGCGTTATTTTTCCACGTTAGTGCATGGAACCAAATACTGACAAGTCCACGTTTAAATTGGAAAGGACTTTTACTACCTAAAGAGATAATCGTTTAATACCGATAAGAGATTTTATAACGATTAATTAAGTGTCACGTGATAGGTTATAACGCCATTTTAACTTTTTCGATCGAACGCAATTTCTTCGGCGAAGAAATGGGGAAACCGTTTTATATCAATATTCACGTGTCAACATTTAAATCGGTTCTATGCACTGATTTAGGAAAATTGTGAACTGCTAACATATCGATAAAACCACCTGGTAAAATGTCAGAGTAAAACCCCCTTAAAGCTATGCGATGGATTTATTCGTTTATGTGTTCGTACTTAGAGTACGAATTCATAGCCTGCCAACGGAACAGGAGTAACTCAAAATTAGGGCGAAAATCTATGCGAATTATATTTATATTTATACGTTCTTCTTGCCCTAATTTTATTGGTCACCCTTGGTCACATGTGCCATCTTTCTTTTATTTATATATGTATATGTACATATTACCCTGAATTTTTTTAAGGCTTATAGATCAAAACACGTAGCCAACAACACGCATGATATTAATGCATACACTCATATTATTTAAAGTAGCGATAAGTTAACTTAGCAAATGTTTTGAACATTAGTAAAATCGTAAATTATGTCTTTTTCTTTTTTGTTTCGAAGCTAAAGAGTTTCTGCTTTTGTTTTCACCGAATTATCGGACGAACGATTTCGTTCTCTATCTTAATGAAAATTGAATTGATTTTATTCTATAAAGAATAATGCTAAAAGATAGAGACGTTCCCGAATCTTATAAATCTGTAAGCATCGATTTACAGAGAATACTGAGAATGACGTTATACAAAATTCTATTGAATTATGATCTCTTAAGTGCTAATATTATATTTTATATCTGCGATACTGAGTAGAAAAACAAAGAATACTCTAACTCGTGGTAAGTTGCGTGTGCACGAGGAGAATGCAAGGTTTTCAAATTCGTTTATCAATGCTAGGTGATTTGAATTACATTCTTCTCAAGGCTTCGTTAAGTTATAATTTCAAAAATGGGCATGTTAGCAATGAAAGCAATTATGTAAATTTCTTACCAGAATTTTTGTTTTCCTCGAGAATATTCGTACTAAGAATGTCATGCTGTAAAGGCATTCCGAATTTTACTGAAAGTATCGATTTTTCATTTTTTCAACAATTTTTGCATATTCATTATTTCAGGCATTTATATTCATATTTTGAATTGATAGTTATCACTAATAACGTATGTCTTTATTTCTGTTTTTCACCTTATTTCTTTAAGCCTGTGACATTTGAAATGTGAAAAAACAATATTGAACGCTAACATCTGCTTTATGTTACTTTTTGTTTTATGTTGAAAATCGTTTTAAAAAGATACCGTACTCTCAGTGGTAAATCTAATGGTAAATCTCGGAAGGCACTGAAAGCATGCCTTTACCAAATGAATAAGTTTCCTTCGAATTCACATTCGTTAAAAGACTTTGTAAAAATTATCTGTATCGTTAACATACAGAAATGTAAACACTTTCCTGGCGTTTGTAATTGCACTGATATGTAAATGATTTATATATTTACCCAGTAAAGATACGGTAAAATTATTTTCCTAATTCCTAAGAGACCAAACGAATGTGCACATTCCTCGAGAGCCACAATACACATAAGTACAAGATTGCCAACTATTATGTTAAAAAAGGATAATTGATATTTCTTTAGTTTATTATTTATATAAAGAAGCATTCATATAATATATTATTAAGTACTTCTATGTTAGGCTCAACAGGCAAATATTGTAAGTGAAAATATGTGTGAATAAAGTTTCAAACGTGAATCAATTAACGCCATCTTTTCTCCTAATTATGACTATGAAGATTCTGTAGTTACTTCCGGTTCG